AAAGGAGGATGACGTGCAAGACAATTGTGAAAGGTTCAGGTCAGGAAAGATTCAGTGCTAACACTGGCTGGGTTAAACTGATCTGTGTGCCAGTCAGAATGGTCACAGGTCCTTGAGCCCTTTGCTGAAGCAAGCTGTGGTGGGGTACAGGGTGCTGTCCGTGAGTCCATGATGTCTGTTAGGTGTGTGCACAGCATGAAAGGAGCCCCCAGTGAGGGTGGCAAAGCTGAGAGCAGCAAGAGAGCCCTGTGCACAGGAGGGTGAAGGAAGTGATTGTGCTGGGCAGCACAGCTTCCCCTGGTGCTCAGTGCGTACCCTGACCTCACTCAATGCTCTTTACTAAACATGGGATCATTTGACCTAAGTGGGAGACCATTGTAGAAAACAAACCAACTAAAGACACGAAGACACTGGAGCAGAAACAAGTAAGGAGATGTGCTAAACATTATTTCAGTTTTCAAACTGGAATAGCGGCTGAGTCCATATTTAAACACCTAATTAGCCACTGCAGGCTTCAGTTTGAAATTTGGCTTCTCATTACTTTTTGAAAATGCATTCCATAGGGAAACTGCTGCTGGAGACAGCACCATGGAGATAAGTGGAAAAATCAGCTAATCAGCTTCTGGTGGAATAAAAGAAAAAAAGAAAAAAAAGATGAAGAAAAAGAAAAAAAATCACAAACCTCAAGGCACTCACTCCAGAATGGAATACCTACATATTTTCTTCGTGCAAAAATTCGAAACAATGCCTTTCTTTTCTCCTCCTGAATTTTTGCAGTAGTAAGTCAAATCTGTAGCTCATATTGCAAAAAAAATCTTAAGCCAGAAGTAAGAACTTCTGCTAAAAAATATTTGGACACGAAATGCAGAACCTGCTTTATCCTGACCCTTTATTCATCAGTATAGAATCCATAAAACATTATTTTTAAAGGAAGAAGAAGGTTTTGTGTATTGGTGTTCTCTTGGAGAGATTTCAAAGCAGCAAATTAAACTTTACCTGCCTTAACTCCTCCTGTATTTTCATTTAGTGAGTTGTGCATTGCCCTGTTTTATCAGCATTGACTCAGCAAAATGCTATGGAGGGGCATCCTCTGAGGCATGCCACTCTTTTCTGTGGTAAGAAGATGGTCCACAGCAAGCCCCACTTAAACAAGGGAGAGAGCATGACCTTCTCCAAGCTACTGATGCCAGGCATGCTGTGTTTTCTCACTGAACCTCTTCCCCCTAAGTCCTTGCTCCACTTTCCCTAGCTGCTGACTGTGTACAGGCTTGCCATACCTCGGCACATGCTGCCTGGCATCGCCCAAGCTGGGTGGGCAGTATTCATTAGGATGTATCCCTGGTCATTGAACACCAGTGCCTCCTTATCTCTCTAGCTGACTGACCAGCACCCACTGGGGGCTGGGAGCTGGCTGGTTGCCTAGTTAGGAGGCAGAGTTTCTCTGCTTAAGAGAGCCTGCCTGGCTGTAAAGCATCGATGCCCTGGGTCCTCAAAGCAGCAAAAGTCCAACTGCCACAGGCACCTCGTGTGCTCTGCTCTGCTAGCACAGTTTGCTTGTGAGCTGTGTTCTGCTTGGATGGTTTTCCTCTTGTATGCACTTTGATTTCTGAAAGATTTTAGAACTTTCAGAAAACGTGGAAATGCCAATAAATAATGTCAATATTATTTTACTTAGTATGCAATTATACTTTTATTCATTATAAAAAATGTGCATACAGAGCATAAAGTGCCAAGAGAGGATAGATTTAGATGCATAAGCTTTAAAGCCAGATAATTCCATGTGTAAGAGGAATACATTTTATGGTTTTAAACTAAAAGAGGGTAGATTTAGATTGAACAAAAGAAAGAAATTTTTATGGTAGGGGTAGTGAGGCAGAGAAATGGGTTGTCCAGAGACAGTGTGGATGCCCCATCCATTCAAAGCCAGGTTGGATGAAACTTTGAGAAATCTTGTCAAGTGGAAATATGTCTCTTCTTATGGTAGGTTAGAGGAATTAGGTGATCTTTAAGCTTCCAACCCAAACCCTTCTATGATTCTACATGTGTGTTCTTAGGAGACAGAATCGTGGTGTGAGTTCAGGTGCCTATTTTTCTGATACATGAAATCAACACTGGATCTAATGAAGTCAAACAACTAGTGTTGTTTTATTTTTTCAATGTAGCATTTAAACAAAGTGATTCTAATAAAATGGGGTCTGACAAAAAACAGTTCAACAAAAATCCTCATCAGTTCTGTGTCATGTCATTCCTCTGTCTTATGTAGTCCATTGATGTCAGATTCCTGGAAAGCAAAAAACACACACACAGAAATTGGGAAGAGAGAATCTAATCATTGCAGGGCCTCTGCCAAAAGTTTTTGCTCTGTGTATCCAATTTTATATTCTTCATATCTATATTATTTTATTGAAGTCTGATTCCTGGCTGCCTTGCACATCATTTGCATCTCTGCACAGTGATATAAAAGGCTTCCTCATTGATTGGGTAGCTTTTATATCTTCTCAGCACTCATGTTTCTCTGACATACATACCTATGCAAAATACAAGGCTTTGGAGGATCCAGCCCTTGTAGTTCATGCTTCATTGCCACAAGGTAAGTCAAAACAGCACTCGCACAAAATGTGGGAATGGGGAGTCATGGGGAGCATTCAGCATCCTCCTGCCTGGCATCTGAAGATTACTGAAAGCCTGACTAGACCCAGGCAGAACAAGTCAGAGTAGTCCCCAGCTCTGCTTCCCTGCGAGCCACTTGCCAGACAAGATCACTCTGGTTCAACTCGGAGGCTTGTCCCGTGCCCCAGCTCACATTAAGTGGGGGAATGGTGGCACCGGTGGAGGAGTGCCAGGGGGAGCTGCCAGCTGGCTGCCGGAGGCGGCTTGGGATGAATGCTGCTTCCCATGGGTAGTGTGAGCTCTGCCCCGCACGGCTGTGCACAGGAGAAGCCTGTAGCAGCTGAGGATCTGGTCCTTCAAGTTAAAGGGGTTGGAATATGCATGAAGCATAAGGTGACATTTTGAGCGTCTCAGATCAGAGCATGGACGTTACTGAATTTAAAATGTAACTGCAATTTCCTGACTAATACCAAGTCACTTTTATATTCATGCAGTGATTGTTCTTTACTCTTTAAATAGCCCAATTTGCCCAGAGGTGCAGGTGATATCCTTATGATAATGAAGATATGTTATCCAGCACGGTACAGCTGAGGCTGTTGGTTGGTGCAAGGGCCACCTGTGATCATCTATCCTTTTTGGTTCTCAACTCATATAATGATTTTGTAGACTGTTTGTGATTTGTTTGTCCAAAAAAAAAAAAAAAAAAGAGACAGAAAAAAAAAAGTAAAGAGATGCACTGGAGGTTCAGTGTTATTTTCTGTTGTTGTCTTTTACTTCCTGTAGCTAAGCTGTATTTACTGTGGTGTCTCCAAGTTTCTGAGTCCTTCCAGATAACACAGGCAGTTAATTGCTACAGTAGCCTTATACCTCTGTAAAGGGTCAGCCTGATTCTTAACATCAAGGGCTTTCTGTGATGAAGTGCACAGGATATTATAAATAAGATATTCAACAAGAATGAGATAAAATTAATTCATATGTTTACTATTCATTCAAAATAAAAACTTGCACACAGTAATCCACAGAAATCACAGGCAGGCTTTCCTGCAGAGTAAGAGCATCCCTAGTCTGGACATTTCTTGCACTTAGGGTGAAGGTGTAGAGGATGCAGCTGTAGCTGCAGCCACCACGGGGATAGGACAATATCTAGGGAAAAGGAAGGAATGAGGAAAGAGAGTTCTGTTCCTGGGTGGGCGCCCCTCTATCACCTTTCACCAACAGGTTAAGGTTCTCCTGCTGCATGGACCCTAAGCCCTGTTTCCACATGGGGAGCAGCTGCAGCATGCAGTATCACTTCCCCAGGCTTTAGCAGAGGCAGAGCAGATGGGGGCTGGAGCAGTTCCACTGCTCCCAGGAGCCTGCTGCTTTAGGCTCCTGCTTGCTTTGCCTAAGAGCTGTCTGTAATGCCACCATTTACCTTTGGTTCTGCTTAGCACAAAAAAGGTTAGATGAGAGGCTGCGGTAATTACAGGAGTAAATTGTTATGGCACAGGAATTTGTGGAAGTGATGCTGAGGCCTCAGTCAGGAAGAGCATTTTAAGTGACATACCTGCTAATTTCCCTGAAAATAGCCTGCTAATTAAAAAAAAAAAAAAAGTATTGCATGCTGTCTGCATGCAATGAAACTCAACTCAGCAGTTCCTAGAAAGCTTAACTTGAAAGAAAGGCACATTTGGCATCCAGATGAGAGAGGTGCACAGGAGTCTCAACGGGTAATGTTTTGCTGTAACTCCTGGAATTTTTGTGCCTTTGTCATACCTCTTTGGCACATATTCTGCCAGCCATCTGTGCTTTAAAGGCTGTATAGGGCCTGTGGTTGCACTTGCAGCTGCTCTCCTTGCCCTATCTTTTTATCCATCTCTTAGCTGTGCACAATCTGATGTGTGACCAGGGCAGCTGCAATGAGTACCTTACACATCTGTACTGTTCCCAACACAGGAGCCTTCAACCAGTAGGTTCTGATGCAGTAAAAATAATAATAGCAACAAGAAGTAGTATGATCAGTCATAGGTTTAACAGGGAATGGGATGGGTATGTTTGGAAAGAGCAGAGTGAAAAAGGGGAGAGAAGTTTAAGGGCCTCCAGGTGATGATAGCCTAGAGATTGATGCCTCAGCATTTCTAGTTTAAAGAATTTGACAGAGAGATTCTGGCAGGTATTGTGTAATTTTGTTTTAATATTTTTATTGCTATAAATAAGACTTGGTGTCTGATGAAGTAATCACTAGAACTGGAGTAAACAACACGCCTGCCTGTTGTTTAAGCTGTTTCTTCTGACGACTCAGTGTATATCTGGATATTGCAAAATGTGGTATATTTGATGTTTGTGCAATTCTGTTCTCCTTCTGGTTATTTTTACATGCATCTCCCTCTCTTTTTCTCTCCTGTGTACAGATGTTCGTATTCACCCCATGGAGCCTATGCCCAAAGCAAACTTGCCCTTGTGTTATTTACCTATCGACTACAGCATCTTCTGACTGCAAATGGAAGCCATGTGACTGCTAATGTAGTAGACCCTGGAGTAGTGAATACTGAGCTCTACAAGCATGTCTTTTGGGTTGTGAAAGTGGTCAAATGGATGACAGCCTGGCTATTTTTCAAGGTATTCTGTTTTTAAAATAATTTTGTTGCTGTGCCCCTGCACTGTGAAAGCTGCAGTTGGCCTGGAGCTGAAGGTGTTTCAGAGTTGATAATAGTGTACGGTATTTATTGCATTTCTCTGTGCTGATGAGATGTACAAAATCAATAAAGACAGGCTTTCCAGCAAACAAACATTTATTTTAAATGGAGGGAGCGAGCTGTCACAGTAGGGAAAGGGAATGCCTTTCACAGTCTTTGCCTATGCACTGGTAATCTCTGCCCTGATCTATCCACGTGCTTCTGTGCGTGCACGGGGGCAGGACATCACCCTGACATGGAGCCAGAATATGCAAAGTGTTCCTCAGAAATGACTTGTTCATTCTCTTAAAGAGAAGCAGACATGATGTGGCATGGTCTACATGTACACAACATGTTACAGAGAGGAGGGCAAAGGGAGGAAGAAAGCTGTACAAAAGTGGCAGTGGGAGGTGGCTGTGCTCCAGGATGTGAGCTCCAGACACTTGTGCTCAGGGAGGCGGGACAATTTTTAATTAGGTTTTTCATTCTAAAACCTACTTGTAATGGTACTTGATTTTTTATTATCCAATCTTGGTCTGCACTAGGAAACAAAAAGTTGTTTAATAAAACTCATACAGAAGTGGGGCAGACTCAGTTATGGGTAATGTTTTGTAGGGGTGTAAGTAGATTAAACTGAAATCAGTTTAGCTGTGTAGGTGAAATCTCCTCATGCACACAGGCCTTTGAAGGGCTTGTGCTGAGAAAATGTACTGCTTATAGCTCGTTCAGAAAGTAGTTTTGGATTAAGTAAATGGAACCTGATTCCATTAGAGCAAATTAAATGTCCTAATTAAAATGAAGTATTTTACATCAAGGAGCATGTCCCACAAAGCAAATTAATTTTAAACTTTGATATGGAAATATCAGTTGCTTTCATTTTAGAAATGAACTGGAGGCTGGAAGAGTGACTGTAAAATAAGATGCAAACAAATAAACCCATATTTTAAAAAAAATAGATTCTTCTGAGTGCACCTTGAATATTGCAATAAATTTGTAATAAGAATGCTCATAATCTGTAATGCATTCTTAAAGAAGCAGACTGCAGCTTTGCCAAACCATGTACATGAAACCTGTTTTCCCTCTTGTGATTGGCATTTTAAATACCAGTTTTGGGTGGCAGTGTTTTTTCGTTGATCTTACTTCACCTTCCTAATATAAAAGTTTAATGTAAATTTTAAGTTGTGCTTAGAATTTCTTCCAGAGAAACAAAATTCTGACTAAATTCTTGCATCTGAGAGTGAGTTTCAAGTCTCTTGTTGTTTGCAGCGCTCAGTCCCTCCCAGTTTTATTGATGTGCCCAGGAGACATTTTTTTATTATACTGGTGATGTTTAGACACTGAATTGGATGTTATTGAACATTTAGAATAATTTATCACAAGAGGGATTCCCATTCTTACAACTCTAACAGTCCTGCCACTGATAGTTCCTGATCATTTCTTTCTTCTTTGGATGTGATACTGCTCAAAAGAAATTCTGCCTTGAAATAGGTGACAGAGAGACATACTGATCTGTATGGAAGAGCCATGCCTGTACTGTCTGAAAAGCAAATGCATCAGTTGCTTTCTGAGTCAGAATAACCTCAGCTTTGGATATCTGAATGCTTCAGTTATCGAGGTTGAGATTTTCACATTTTTGTCTAACACTCAATGTGTTTTTCCCAAAAGCCAGAGGAGAGGGAAATTCTTACTTTCTTCCTTCCCATCCTCTCTTAGACCTCTGACTACTCCAACTTCTACTCTTTGCTTATTGCTTAGGATATATCTGGGTGTTTGGGAGAGCTTCATCCCAGAGGAGCACCCTGATTGGCATCACAAGGAGATGTTTAGCTCCACAGCAAGCTCACATTGAAAGCCTGCCTGGCAATTTTAATAGTGCTCTGCTGAGGTCTGTAGTATTCAACATTCAAGCCTGTGTGAGTCTTGTGTTGGTCTCGTGCATTAGGGTAAATGTCCCCTGAGAAAAGTAAGAAAGCAAATACAAGAAAATTCAGTTGTCTGGTAATATTAGCTGATAGTTGGTAGTATGGATTTTTTTTCTCCCCTGGAATTTTGTTCCTGAGCACTTATATGAGTCTTCCTTCTAGGATTATGGCAGTAATGCAGTGAAAATGAGGTGATAGCTCTCTAATCATATTGACTTAACTAACTATTGTCACCCTGAAGTATTCCAGAGTGAGTTCTAAATGTGTGCTGGAAATTGCTTCACTCACTGCAACATGGCACTCTTGAGAGCCAGCACAGCCCAGAGAGCTTCAGTGAGGAAATGCATCACATTGCATTCCCTCAGGAGAGAGTCAACATCTTGTTTGATTTAATTTCAAAATAAAGTGGCAGAGCCCCCACTACTTTTCAATGCATTTCTGCCAGCACTGGTGCCAGTCATGTTCAAATTAAATACCTCTTTGGGACTGCAGCCTGGCCCCCACCTTCGCTGGGCTGCTCATGTTTGAGGCAGCTCAGTGTGGCAGACAAGGTTGTTGGCTCAACATCTGCCTTGGAGCTGCCTCAAGATATTTAGATACTTAAAAGAATAGACCTACAGTCTTGTAATAGGCCATGATACGTATGCATAATTAACTCAAAGTATTAACAGCTTGATTTTCTTTAAATTGCAAAGCATTATCTTCTAAACTTATATATATGGCTCAGAAAAGTCTTGGCCAAATCAGTTTGGTGTTTTTCCCACCACAAGTTGCAGTGAAAGGCATTTCTGTAGAAATAAGATAGGCCAAATGAAAAGTTCTGGTGACAGTCATAAAATTTGTGACGTTGGTGCCTGCCCTTTAGAAGTGACGTTTTCATTCTTTCTCAGCTCAATTCTTTCTCAGAAAAGTTATTGTCTGCTGTGGTACTCTAAATTTGCACTTTGCAAATGTTTTATCTGTATTTTTCATAAACATGGACTGCACCTGTCACACAAGAGACAAATTATTACTCAAAAAAATATATTTCTATCCCTATGATTTTTTGGTAAATAAAGCCTGATGAGCTGACACAATCCTCTGCAGAATGCAATGAAGTATGTTATCCTTTCGTAATTTTTAACATAAATTCATCTTCTTTTTGAAGAGATAAAGTCCAAACTAGTAAACACTAACTAATTAATGCGATAGTAATAACTTGAAAAGTCATTCATTGAGCATCAAACTGCAATTTAGCTCAGTGTGCAACACACCAGCTTTAGCATTGGGTACTGTGCAGGCTGGAAACCAGGAAGTACCATTTCCCTCCCAAGTATTTCTGCATCTGCAGCAGATATTGAATATTCATTCTTAAACCAGATGGTCTCTGCTTGTAATACAATTAAAATGCCTTAGAGCAAAACAAAAAAGTTGACTCTCATTAATGTCCGATAACAGGAACTGTTCTGCTTTGTATGACTTCATTATGGCATCAAAGTAGAGACATTTGGCAGATAGCAGTGTTGTAAAGTTCCCCAAAACCTTGTTTATGACAAGCTTGGTGAACATGTCATTACCAGATATAGAGTATTTGGTCCTTTCAGCCAGCTCAGATTGGTATTTAGGAAGGCATTGTGGAAGGAAGGCTTTGCATCAGATCCTGTCTCAGCTGTCATTTCCAAAGACATAGTGCCAGATAAGTGATTATTGACTGACAAACTGAAAATAAGTAGGATTAGTGACCCTGCCAGCCTGTAAAAATGGAGGGAAAGGCTTCAGGAACACGGGCTAGGTAGATATCAGTCAATATAAACTAATTCATTTCCTTCACCTTGTCAAAATAAGCTCAACATTAGTGTAATTTTCCTATAACATTTTTTAAAAAATGCTTCCAGTCAGTAAGCACATCTAGAAAACAAGATCTAAAGGACCTGGACTCATCATTCATGCCAGAGGACATAGTCATGCAGGTCTTATTGCAGCATTTCTTATTCAAACTGTCCCTTTGGCACTGTGAATATAGTAAATTCATTTCATCCTACCCCCCAGGTGTCAGAAGACAAACACATCACCACACAATAACACCAGCTGTAAGAGAATGAGAGTAATTAAATCCCACAGCTGAAAGCAGCAATTCATCAGCATCAACATTTTCTGTGCATGAGAGTGTGTGGTTCTCACATAAAGCTAATCTGGGCCTTTCTCACAAAAATGAAAACTTGCAGAAACGTATAATTTGCAGTTAATTTTTACAAAAGGTTTTTCTGGTCAAAAACATAGAGAAGAAAACAGTCTGCTTGAATCCAGTAACACTGGTCTTTCAGCAGATACAATTTTGGATACATTGGTACAGGGATTTAAGCTTTCAGAGCCATAGGTGCCTTTTTCCATCTGTTAAGTATTTTATTATTTTACAGCCATCGAATGATTCTAGAGGGAAAGATAAGGGAACCAGTCTGAGAAGGCTAGTAAATAATCAACTGTTTAATTCCTAAATCCTGATGATCTGGGTTTTCTTCCCATGTGAACTCCTGGACTTGGTTAAGTATCCAGGTCCTGCCTGTTATGGGGTATGTGGATGGAGCTTGGCTGCTTTATTCATTGTAACTGCTGAGCACAGAGCCTTCTGAACACAGGGCCCTGTGTGTCTGTTCCCAGTCAGATCAGACCCCTCTAAGGTAGGCTGGTCCCCACATAAATAGCATTGGACCCTTTTCTCCACTGAACCTGTGATCCCCCTGCATCCCAAGATATTGCTATTTTTCTGCATGTTTTCTAAGCTCTAAGTGGTTAAAGTATTTATTTGAAGGGACACGTTGAGAGTTGTGACAGTTTGTTTTGATGGCAGGAAAATGAAGGATTTGTGTTGCTTGCCTCAGTGTACGGCACACAAAGTAGTGTATAGTTGCTGTAGAAGACAGAACAAAATGGGTGGGATTATGTCACAGTGCATCACAGGGAGTCAAAGATGTTGAAGTTCTTGTTTACAACTTATTTGGAGCAGCTGCTGATGTAATTTATCCCCATACCACACCCAAGCTTC